CTGGACCTCTGGCAGGCTCAGGTGGCTCCCCTGAAGGCCCCCACAGCCAGAAGTGACTTCCGCCAGGGGTTTCCAGCCAAATCTCATGAGCATTCTGCCCAAATCGATATCGATTTGGGTAGAAAGCTCCTGAGAATTGGGCGTTGTTGGGCCGCCATTGGGGCCTCGCCGCGCCGAGCTAAGAGCACTTTCTCGCTAGGTGCGTGTTGCAGCTGTGCAAGACCATGAGCCGGCTCCTGGAGCCCCCCCACCCCCCCAGGCAAGCTCCCCGGGGTGCAGAGGTGAGTTAGGGTGTGAGCGTGAGCCTCAGTCTCTAGCTTTTTTTTGGCAGAAGGGGGCGCCAAAGGTGAGGTGGCCTGAAGTGGGCATGCAGGTTTCTCCCACTCTGAGTGTTTCCTGCAGCTGCCAAAGGTATGGTTTCCTCCTGGGTGGCAGGCGGTGCCCTGCCATATGGCTCAGGGATCCCCAATCTGGAGGGCTTGAGGGCCAGGACTCTGGGGACGGAAGCCTGAGAACCCAAATCTGGGTTAGGGTTTGGGCCTAGGGGCGTGGCAGGCCCCAGCTGCTGATGCTGAGGCAGGCTCCTGGGAGCACTGAGTAGAGGGCGGGTTTGGCCACCATTCAGAGGCGACTAGGGCTGCACGTGCACCTGCCCTTTAGAGCGCTTTGTCGGGGGACACCCTGCAGCCCTGGGCTAAGCCCAGGCAGCTCCCAGGAAGCCAGTTCACTGGGGCTTTCTGGTCAATTCTCACGAGCTTTTTGCCAAATCGATTTCTGCCAAATCGATTTCTGCCAAATCGAAATAGATTGGAGAGTCAATGTGACCACTTGATTAAACAGCATACAAAAGGTAAATAAGTGATGAGTATATATTAAATATACCATTCCAGATTTGAAATTCTATTAAAGTTGCTTCATTTAAGTCTTCAAGCAGCAGAATAAAGTCTTGAACATTCTAGAGCCAAACTTCGGAGGAATTTTTTTAAAATTATTTTTTAAATGTACTGTGCTCTATTTATAGGTGTTCTTGTCCAGGAAAAGATATTTTTAAAAGTCTAGGGCAAAGCCAGCTTGGTAATATGCTTCAGGGAAAGCTAGGGCAGGGATAAGGATAGACATGTAGATCAATGGAATAGAATGGAGAGTCCTGAAATAAACCCTCGCATTTAAGCTCAATTGATTTTTGACAAGAATGCTAAGGCAATTTAACAGGGAAAGGATGTTTTTTTCAACAAATGGTGCTGGGACAACTGGGTTGCCCATATGCGAAAGAATGAAGATGAATTTTTAACTCATCCCAATATACAAAAACTAACTTCAAATGGATCAAAGACCCAAATTGAAGAGCTAAAACTATAAATCTCTTAAAAGAACTCATAGATGTAAATCTTCATGACTTTGGGTGAGGCAATGGTTTCTTAGCTATGACCCCAAAAGCAGTAGAAACAAAAGTAAAAATAGATAAATTGAACTTCATCAAAATTAAACACTTCTGTGCTTCAGAGAACACCATCCAAAAAGTGAAAATGGAAGAAAATGTACAAATAAGATCTGAAAAGGAACTTGCAAATAGAATGTATAAAGAACTCCTACAACTCAATAATAAAAAGACAGATAACCCAATTTTAAAATAGACAAAGGATGTGAATAGACATTTCTCCAAAGAGATATACAAAGGAGCAGTGAGAGGGTGCCTGGTGGCTCAGTGGATTGGGCCTCTGCCTTCAGCTCAGGTCAAGGTCTCAGGGTCCTGGGATCGAGCCCCGCATCGGGCTCTCTGCTCGGCGGGGAGCCTACTTCCCCCTCTCTCTGCTGCCTCTCTACCTACTTGTGATCTCTCTCTCTCTGTCAAATAAATAAATAAAATCTTTTTTTTTTTTAAAGAGTAGTGAAGACATAAGAAGATACACAACACTAACCATCAGGGAAGTGCCAATCAAAACCACTATGAGACTCTGCACACCAGGCTGGCTGTAATAAAAAAGACAGTTAACAAATGTTGACAAGGACATAGAGAAACTGTCACCTCCCATCCTGCTGCTGGGCCACAATGTAAAATGATACAACCACTGTGGAAAACCATCAGGAAGTTCCTCAAAAGTTAAATGTAAAGCTGCCCGGTGACTCAGCAACTTCCTGGATATGCTCCAGGAAGAACTGAAAACGTATGTCAACCCAAAAACTTCTACACAAATGTTCATGGCATCACTGTTCTTAACAGTCAAAAAGTTGAAACGACCAAAATATCTATCAACAGATGAATGGATAATACATAAAATGGAATAATATTCAGCAATAAAAAGAAACGGAATAGGGCCCCTGGGTGGCTCAGTGTGTTGAGGGTCTGCCTTGGGTTCATGATCCCAGTGTCCTGGGATTGAGCCCCACATCAGGCTCTCTGCTCAGTGGAGAGTCTGCTTCTCCCTCTACCCTGTTCCTGATCTATCTCTCTCTCTCTCTCTCTCTCAAATAAATAAAATCTTAAGAAAGAAAGAAGAAAGAGGAAAAGAAGGAAGGAAAGAAGGAAAAAAGGAAGGAAGAAAGGAAGGAAGAAAAATGGAATAGGAGGTTATGTAGAGCAGTGCCTTCTTGACTGGGGTGAGGCAAATACAGAAAACAGGTGTTGTGGGACGCCTGGGTGGCTCAGCCAGTTAAGCCACTGCCTTCCACTTCAGGTCATGATCCCAGGATCCTGGGATTGAGTCCCGCATCCGGCTCCTTGTCCAGCAGGGAGCCTTGCTTCTCTCTCTGCCTCTGCCTGACACTCTGTGTGCTTGTGCTCGCTCTCTCTGACAAGTAAACAAATAAAATCTTAAAAAAGAAAAAAAAAGAAAACAGGTGTTGTGATTTGTCCTCCTCTATTTTCTCCTATTCAGAGAAAAAAAATAGAGTACTCAGAATTAGAGGATAAAGACGCAGGAATGTTGAGCTAAGGACCTTCCTAGAATTCATAAAGTACAGTCATCAGAGAAAACTTTCCTAGAGAAAAGACTGGAGCCTGGAAGGAAAATGGTGACTATGAGGAGGATGTTGTGGTAAAAGCATAGAGGTGGTCAACTCCAATGATGAAAAGGGCAAAGCCAGAAAACAAATTAATATTTTGGCTGAGATAACATTTAGCAATCATTTTCTGTGGGTCAGGCTGGGTTCTAAGTGATTTACACGGATTATCTCATTTGATTTTCACAACAGCCTACTCTCTGCCCAGGGAGTCAGTCCCCATTCTAAATGTAAACCAGCACCTGGTACTCGCTGCTTCCCTTCCCCGGAAGCTTCCCTTATGCATAGGTAGAACGCAGACACCTGACCACTGTCTCTAAGACCGAGGCCAACTTCTGGAATTCAGCTCATTCCACTCCAGCCACTCTGGCCTCCTAGCGTTGCTTTAAGTCTGTTGCTGTCACAAGGACTTTGCATTCCCTGTCCCCCAGCTTGGAACACTTTTCCCCACGTGTTCTGATGGCTCACTCCCCAACTGCCACTCTCTGTTCAAATATTGCTTCCCTAAGGGAGGCCTTCCCCAAAGTCACTCTGCCTCACTCAGCATCTCCAATCCTGCTTTGAGCCTGCATCCCTGTCTGGCTAGTCATCGGCTTTACTGTGTCCCTCCTACATTACTAGTTCAATGAGAGCAGCCTCATCTTCCATCCTGCTCTCTGTTCTAGCTACCAACACCTGGAACTGAGTCTAGCATACAGTAAGCACTAAATAAAATGTGTTTGAATGAAATTGGTCCATCAAATATTGTATTTGACTCTCTTTGTTTTCTCTTGGTTTCCTTCTTATTTTTAGTAGTGTGATATTTCTGGGAGCTTTCTTTCGTGTTTTGTCTGATGAGACAAACAGGGAATGTTTTCTCTGAAGGAAAGGCTGAATATGGTCCGCCTTTGGACCAGACCCTAAAAGAGGACATGGCACCCCCTGAAGTCAGTGTGATGGCAGCAGCAGCGACAAGCAAGAAATCATCACAGGACAGGTCCATCTGAGGAAAGAAGCTGGGCTCTGGGGATGCCTGGGTGGCTCAGTTGGTTAAGCGTCTGTCTGTCTTCGGCTCAGGTCATGATCCCGGGGTCCTGGATTTGAGCCCCCATTGGGCTCTCTGCTCAGCGGGGAGTCTGCTTCTCCCTCTCCCTGCTTGTGCGCTCTCTTGCTCTCTCTCTCTAAAATTAATTAATTAATTAATTAATTAATTAATTAATTAAAGTAAAAAAGAAGTTGGGCTGTGAGGGCCGCCACCCGCCGCCCCCTCACCCTCCATGGAACCCACCTATCATTCTCTCTCCACTGCCAACAATAGGTTGGTCCCAGTGGACTTGAGCACCTCTAAGACATCAAACAGTAATCATTCTTCTTTATTGTTTTCCCTTAGTATCTCTCGTAATAACCAGGAGAAGCAAAGAAACCAGCAGGAGTAGGGCTTAGAGCATCACCTCTAGATAGTTCAAGGGGGAAAACCACCAGGAAAGCTGAGGTTTTTTTTCCTCCCTGACTGAGCATTAGATTCACCTGGGGAGCCTTTAAACCGCTGGCTGCCCAGGCCACACCTCAGGCTAACTCAGTCAGAATCTCTCAAGGTGGGGCGCAGGCAGCTATAGTGCTTACAACTCCGCAGGTGAATCTAATAGGCCCCCCAGTTTGAGGGTGGGGAGCAACGATTCTCACACTTTAATGTGCACACAGATCTCCCAGGGCATGCGTAAAAAAGTTGATTCTGATTCCAGCACTGGGGCTGGGGCCTGAGATTTTGCACATTTGACCAGTTGCCAAATGCCGCATCTGCTGTCTAGCTCTCTGCGGACCACAGTTTGAGTAGCAAGTGTGAGATCAAATACTGGCTTTGACTCAGGTTCACAACTTTCAGATCTAAGGTTTCATGATCTGGATGTTATTAATCCATGTGTTCTGCTAATTCCTGGGCATCTCAGCCACTTGATGGCCCTTGTTCTCTTTGCTCTTCCTGGCTACCTGACTGGCTGTTGCTGGGGAAACGGAAGACCCACCTCTTGAACCATCCCACAATCAATGCTGTCCCCGATGTTTCTCAACTGCAGGGCCAACTTGTGGATTATCTCCTCCTGGTGATGGTTCTGGCCACTGCTACTCTCCTTGGGCTGAGAAGGCAGATAGTGACCTACATGGGCAGAAGAGTTCAGAAGAGATTATTAACTATCTGTAAACCCCTCGCCACTAGTCATAAAAAACTGTCTTATTAGACAACGAGAGGGATGAAATCTCATCATCAATGATTATAGAAAAGCAGAGTCTTATATTGGAATAGATTAGCTCTGTTCAATAAAAATATAATTCAAACTACATACTAATTTCAAATTTCCTAGTAGTAACATCTAGTGTAACATAAGTAATATATTCTATTTAAAATGATATATCCAAAATATTATCATTAAATGTATAATCAATATAAGATTATTGCTGATATTATTTTGCATTCTTTTTATTATACCTAAGTCTTTCAAATCCAACACAAATACCTACAGCACATCTCAATCCAGGCACTACCCTGCTTTCCAGGTGGAAAATCTTGATCTGTATTTAGTCTCATGCAATTTACAGTTTAAAACATGGATTCATGCATCCGAATTGTTCCAAACATACTTAAAAGTTTTCCAACAATGAAATCAAGCATCATTAAAGATGCCAATCATCGTCTGACTTGCCCACACCCCCTTGCAATAGAATCTGCCATGTTGCCTAAGCAGTCAAGCTCCTTCTTCCATGTCCTCACCCTGACCTCAGGCCCACAGCTGTTTGGATCAGAGATGGATACCTGACCCAAGAACCACGACTCACTTGCTGGCCAGGTAGTCATAACCCAGCCCCTAAAGAGAAGAGGGTCCCTTCCTCTCTGTTCAGTGTTCAGGAGACTAAGAAAAAAATCGGCAGCAAGACCAGTAATGCTACAGGACTATGTTGGGCCTAGGGTAAGTCAAATCCATTTGTAAGCAAACATTATGAAAGGGAAGGAAACACTGAAAGGAGAGATGGAGAAAGCTGGTTGACAGAGAAGAACTAAGCCACCAGACACTTACTAGGAAAGCAAGATTAAAAAAAAAAAAAAAAAAAAAAAAAGACTGGCCCCAGAATTCCCTGAGAACCTGACCCCACCAAGTTCAGTTCTGTTTCATAAACATCCTCACCAGCAACCACAGCTTTTTGGAGGTGACTAGAATAGGTTTCTCTTCCCTGCAACCAAACGAATAGTCATCAAATATCATATCAATTATCATTGTGCAGAGCTGTAAAATGTAGGAAAAACTGTATAGGAAATTATGTTGGCTATACAGCTGCTTCAGGACAGACTCTGAAAGCAAAATTTAAAAATTAGGTCCCTGGGGCACCTGGTTGGCTCAGTCGGTGGAGCACATGACTCTTGATCTTGGGGTTGTGAGTTTGGGCCCCATGCTGGGTGTAGAGATCACTTAAAAACAAAATCTTTTAAAAATAATAAAATGAAAAAAAAATTAGGTTCCTGGTACTAGTGGCTTGTGTTTTGGTTCTGGTCATTTATCTATTCCTATTAAAATTTGAATGGAGGGGCACCTGGGGGGCTCAGTCAGTTAAGCACCTGCCTTTGGCTCAGGTCACCATCCCGGGGTGGTGACCTGGAATCGAGCCCCGCATCGGGCTCCCTGCTCGGGAGCGTCTGCCCGTTCTGCCGCTCCCTCCGCTTCGCCCCCCCCCCCGCCCCCCACCGCTTGTGCTTACATGCTCCCGTGCACACACTCTCTCTCTCAAATAAATAAAATATTTTTTTAAAAAGTTGAATGCAAAATGTCTTCAAGGCTCTGCTGTACTCAACCTGTTTAGTCAGGATCATCTGCTGACTAAAGAGAGACCAATATCCCTGTCCTACAGATATTTACACAGCAAAATACCTATGCCACCATGTTATAAGAAATATTATAAGATTACAGGAAAGAAATTATTTTTTAAAGATTTTTTTTTTTAATTTACTTGACGGAGAGATAGAGCACAAGTAGGCAGAGCAGCAGGCAGAGGGAGTGGGAGAAGCAGGCTTCCAGCTGAGCAAGGAGCCTGATGCGGGACTCTATTCCAGAACCATGGGATCATGATCTGAGCTGAAGGCAGATGCTTAAATGACTGAGCCACCCAGGAAAGACTGGGTGACTCAGCCACCCTGAGGAAAGAAATTATTAAATCAAAGCTCTAAAATAACCATATATCAGAGAAGTAAGAGGTCTTGTGACAAGATGACCAAAATGAATTAAACATAAAAGTAAAGCTGTATTTTCCAAGAATTGAATTTTTAATATCCAGAGGGAAAAAGTATCTTGCTCTGTGCTGAAAAGTTGTGTGAATGTATATACGTAGATATCCACACAGTGTTCTGAAAATAAAATTCATAGTCTGAAAGGCCTCCTGAGAAATTTGGGACAATCACGTGGTTAATCTTTTGCAAGAATAATTCCTTCATAAAGCAAATAATAAGCCCCAATGTACTGGAACTTTAAAAAATATTGCTGTGGTGAGAATCTTACGTAGAAAACTTTGTCCCTTCAGCTGCACTTGGGAAAACTTTTAAGCAAACATACTTCTAAGGTTTTATAAGTGTTTCTCTGCTGCTAGCTATACTGTGCCTATTTTAATTTCTCCTATGGTGATCGTGCTTTCATAATCTTGATTTTGTTCACTAAAAATAGAGTTCTAGAGACTTCCGGCTCAAGCCTGGACATAAGCATCGGCCTCCCATTGGCCCTAATCCCTCCCAAGACACCACCAAAATGAATGCATAAAATTAGAATAAAACCACAACAGTGAGAAGAATGGGAAATGGATCAACAGCAGATGAGAGATGTGTACGTGTTTCTGGAAGGCAGAAAGCAGATGAGACAAGATATGGACAAATGAGCCAGGCAGAGAAAGTGCCAAGACTGTCTCACCACAGGAGCTCCTGAGGCCTGGAAGCCCATTTACTCCACTAAAACCCCAGGGCTGGGAGAAGGAGACATGACCTTGACTGGAAGGCTGATGGGGATCAACTGTACCACATGGTACCCTTGACACCCGCAGGCCACTATACTCAGCACAAACTTCAGGCAAGAAAAACCCAGGCCACTCTTCTCTAATGGAAGAGAACAAATCTTGTGGAGAAAACTAAAGCTTCTTTATGAATGTTGGTGCCTCAAATTAAAGGTCTCCTTGTTGTAGCATTTGGAGGACCTGGGACCAGAAAGTGAGCTCCCTAACTCATGTCCCTAAAGTCCCCCTAACTCAGAGCCCTCCTACGCCCCAATTTGAGTCCTCACTCAATGGGGAGCCAACTAATCATAGTGGTAAAATTCTGAAGCCAGGTCCCTTGGGTTCAAATGTAAAATCCACTATAGGTAATACTGTGTAACCAGGGACAAGTTATTTAATCTCTCTGTGCCTCAGTTCCTCCAACTGTAAGAGGGGAATAGTAATGTATTATTTCATCAACCATAAGATTTTGTAATGTCTCCAAAATTAGAATGTGTTTTAAAACCTATGGCATGTCATATTTCAATGATATTTACCTTTCAGAAGTAAACAAAATGATGGTATATTTTACAATTAATGGCATATTATTAAACCTCATGAAATAGCATAGTAAGTATCTTATAGAGAGTTTGGGAGATGACTGAATGAGTTCACAAGGAAGTGTCCGGAACATAGATAGACACTACATAAATGTTAGCTACTGCTACCTCCTTCATACTCGCACAACAGCAGAAAAAACCCACACCAGCTACCCAGTCGATAATTTCTTTAAAATAAAGGATCACTAGGCAATTGAGAAGGACCACAGAATGCAAGAGAAATACCAGAAAAACAAAGAAAACTAATCCTGAAGAATACACGTAATTCAGGAAATGGAAGAGAATGTTTGCCAATTCTAATGTATATATTTTGAGAGATTTAAGAAAATATTACATTCAAGAAAAAAAGAAACTGCTATGAAGACAGAACAATCCTAGAACAAAATCTTTCCAATTTAAAAAATATGATCGCCAAAATTCAAAAGACAATGGATGGCCTGAAAAATTAAGTCAAGGAAATCACTCGGGAAAAAAAATCAGAAGGTGTAAAACATACAAGAGAAGAGATAGGTAATATAGAGGGTCAATATGGAAAGATGAGCATTTGATTTATGGGATGGCCAGAAAGAGAGAAACAGAGGAGGAAAATTTCAAAGCAAGCAGTGTTAAGAGAGCTTCCCAATGCTGAAGGACACCAAACATCGGATTAGAAAGTACCCCCCAACCCCACACCCCGCACCCCGCACCCCGCCACACACACACACACACACACACACACACACACACACGCCCCTCCAAGTTCCCAACACAACAAATGGGGAAGTAAAAACCTCACCTCCAGAACATATTAAAATTTCAAAACACTAGGCATAAGAGACACTAAAAATCTCCAAAGAGAAACACAGGTTAGTTTGGCCACTGACTTCCCAACTACAATGCATACTAGAATATAAAGGAACCATTTTTGCCCCAAGACTTCTATAAAAGATTATTTTCAACCTAGAATTCCATGTCTAGCTGAACTCTCAGTCATACATGAGAGGCGAATGAAGACATTTGCAGATCTGCACAGGCTCAAGAATTTTTCTCCCATACAAAATTCCTTAGGAGGGAGTATTCCAATAACACAGAGTATGACTAAACCAAGAAAGAGAAAGAAGATTTAGCAGAAGGTGAATCCAACCTACATGAAGGAAAGTCCCAGGATGACAGTGGGACAATAGGCCCAGAGAGAGACTAGATGAGAGCCAGAGAACAGCTCTGGAAGGGCAGACCCTTGAGCAAGTGAGATTTAGTAGAATAACTGGTATGGACGAAAATCGGGGGAAACTCAAAGAAATGGAAACTATGAATCATGTGGGAGAAGAGAAGGAAAGGGAGTGAGAAAGTCCAGAAAACAATAAAAGGTCATACAGGAAGTTTATGGCCTGAATGTGAAGCAAATTTTAATGTGGTTTAAGTTGAAAATAAAGGAATCATTTTTTTAGGTCCTTTCAACAGGATATTCCTCTGTGTTCCACTTCCTGGTACTCTACCTGTATGACTGGACAAGGTTTCAAACAATCGCAGGTTTTGTCCCTTGTTTTATGACTGGGAGGTGATTACTCTGAGGGAAAAAGTCATTCTAGCACGTATGGATTTTATTGCTGGTAGCCAGAACCCCTAATCCCAGAGCCTTGCATAACCTTTTACCTTTGGATACTGACACAACGGGTGGACAGAAATGAGTGTGAGGATTCTGAAGTCTTGGCCTCTCTTTATGCTGGACCATCTGCTTCCAGATTGGAAAACAGATACCTCCCCTTCACAGGGACAAACCACCTTTTCCAGAATGCAAGTCCTCATCTCAAACTCAGCGGGACCTTTTCTTTTAGCTGAGGAAGGGAACTTCTTTTAGGAGAGCTTGAAGCCATTAGCTTGTACTTTGAACATTTAAATCTGTGAAATGCAAAATCAACAGTCATTGCCTCATCTCACAGGACATCAAGTCAACATATTATAGTTAAATGTTCGATGGCTATAAATACCCGAGCTGAATAATAATTTCAAAACAGTTTGCCTCAATTTAGCGGGACTGCTGGTCAATCTCAGAAAGGCTCAAAGTCTCTCACCAAGGACAAACTGCTCTTTTTAAAAAGAACTGCTGATATCACCCAGGATTGAAGTAAAGCAAAAGAAAAATGGCCATGCAGGAAGGCTGAACAGAAGGAAGTTTGCATGACAGTGAAGTGTGAATTTGAACCACCAGACTAGATGTAGCATCAAGAAGTATAGACTACTCTTCCAAGGGGTGCCCATGATGGAAAGAGAACAGACAGTGGCAAGAGGAAGAGTTGTGTTGAAGGAATTTTCTAGGTTGAGAGTCTTGAGCAGGTTTTGTAGGTTGAGGGGAGGAATTAGAGCAGGAATAATGGCAATGGAACATAGAGCCGAGCGAATTGTTGAGGCCAAGTCCCAAAGGTTTGGGACAAAGGAGAATGAAATCACATGGAAAGATTAACTTTGAATCGAAGCTGGAGGGTGGCGCACCCTTCCTTTGAGATAGAATAGTTGGTAAGATGTGACGTGCAGGTACAGAAGTCTGGGGCAAGGGAGAAGGAAATTAGGTGTTTACCCCAATGACTTCAGTTTTGTACATGAAGCGGAAAACTACGCCATCTGCTGAGAAAGGGGGGGATCTTGAAGTGGCTGAAATCTGTCACTAGCAGAAATGGAAAAAAGAAGGCTGACCAGAGTTGCATAATAGGGGCTAAAGACAACCATCACCTCCAACCTCACCCCAAAAAAAAGAGAAAGGAAAAAATGTGTATATATTCTTGATGGGCATTCTCTTTCCAGCTGGTAGGTGTCCTAAATTTGAACCTAAAGAAAAGACATTTTTATCCTATCTTCCCATAGGGGAAGCATCAAGGCTTGGCCCAGTTACTTTCTAATTTCCTATTCTTAGGCAAGATACTTAGCTTCTCTGGGCCTCAGTTTCCTCATTTGTTAAAAAGGACTCCAAGATTGTTACGAATATTAAAAACGATGTTCACAAAGTGCCAGGTATATAATAAGCTTTATGTTATATATCTTAGCTACTACCACTGGACTTGGTATTAGATGATAGTTACATAGGTATAAAAATGTAAACCAAGGTTACTGGTTTCTAACTTTTGGACTCAGCTGATGGACAAAGTATGGAAGAGTTGTTGTGGCTGGAGGCGAGAATATAAATGTTAATGACTCCAGCTATATCAAAATAAAAAAAAGTGTAAGGGACAAAGAGCAGGGTATGGAAGGCCAAGTGAACAGAGGACAGGGAAGTTAATATCTGCGTCTTATAAAATGGGGAGTCATATGACAGTGCTAAAAATACATGAAATAAGAAAGAGGATTTTAAATTACTGAAGTTTCCAAAGACAACAAATGGAAGTTTTACAATAATTTAACTGTCAACCATGAGAAGAGAGGGTATAGTATGAACTAAACCCCATCTGTCATGTTAAAGAATCAATGGGGGGAGAAAAGAAGCAATGGATGGCACCAATTTGATAAACCAAGAGATAGAAGAATAAACACACATTATTAGAACAGTAGTTCTCAACTCTGGCTGCACATGAAGATCAACTTGGAGACTTAAAAAAAATTTTTTTTTCTTGGTCTGGGAATAAAACTACAGATTGGTGTTTTTTTTTAAAGCTCCCCAGGTGATCCTAGCCTACAGCACTGAGACTCACTAATCGACACAACTGGAAAACAGAGCCAGTTAAAGTTTCCTTCCTGGAAATGGGACAGTGGGGCGGGGGGTGGAGGTGAAAGGAGAGACTGGATACTAACCTAGCCTTCCTTCACTCATTCATTCATTCATTCATTCAATAAATATTATAGGGGGCACGTGGGTGGCTCAGTGGGTTAAGGGCCTATGCCTTCGGCTCAGGTCATGATCTCGGGTCCTGGGATCAAGCCCCGCATCAGGCTCTCTGCCTGGCGGGGAGCCTACTTCCTCCTCTCTCTCTGCCTGCCTTTCTGCCTACTTGTGATCTCTGTCTGTCAAATAAATAAATTAAATAAATAAATATTATAGAAGGCCTTCTATGTACCAGACACTGCTTCAGGCCCTTTTTACCACAACCTCTCTAATACTAGTTGATTTGTTCTCATGGACATGAGTGCTTGGAAAAAATATTTTAATGCAATGAAAACACAGCATCATTACCTGAACCCACACGTTGACATACTCTGGGCAGCCAGTGAGACCCACTTCTGCCTGACTACAAGGAGCATCACCTATGCAGGGTGACACAGTTAGAAAACAAAATCTTTCACAAGGAGACAGCCAGGCTGTGAGAGGACTGGGAAAGACAACGGGAAGAGTGTCCAAGGGCACGGGAGATTACCCACCCCACTTCACAGGCCCCCTGTCCTACCGCCAGAAGCCACTGAGCCATGGCTGCCTGGCTGGGTTCAAAAGTAAAGAGCTCTGAGGGCACCTGGGGTGGCTCAGTCTGTTGAGCCTCCAACTCTTGATTGCAGCTCAGGTCATGATCTCAGGGTCCTGGGATGGAGCCTCATGGCAGGCTCCGTGCTCAGCAAGGATTCTGATTCTCTCCCTCTCCTTTTCCTTCTCCCTCTGTCCCTCTCTCTATTCTCACTATCTCTCTTTCTCTCTACAACAAATTTTTTTAAAAGCCTTTTTTAAAAAAAGTGCTGTAAGGGCAATGGCTCCAGAATTCCTGAACCCTACAACAGGGTTAAGTGGGGAAGGGAGAAAATAGGAGGTAGGGAGGGCCAGGGTCTCAGTGCATTAACTCACCTCAGGCAAGAGAAGGTGAATTACATAGTAGGTGAAATATATGGCCCTTTGATAAAAATTGCAACCATACTACCTGTCATTTCAGTTTCCATTGTTGTTTTCAAGAGTATCATGAACGCTATACACATTAATGACATTCTCATCTCAGACCATTTTGAAATAACACCCTAATAATTAGTTGACACCAATCAAAGATTATGTGAGGGTACCAGTGAGGACTGAGAGCTCACCCAGGAGAGAAGTCACCCAGAGAGAAGAAAGGGCAACTGAGTAGGGACACCCTCCAAATGGAGGTCACCTTTTCAAAATGGGTTTAGGACCAGCCCTGCCCATGCCAATCAGAAGCATAACGATCTGCATCTATTAGTTTAACTGATCAATTCACTGACACCTGGGAAATACCAAATCCAGTATCTGCATTAGGAAGATGGAATACAAGTTGGATATGTTTCAGTAATGGACAATGGGAGAAATGAAGAGCTATAGAGAAGCCAACAATACTTGAATAGCTCAATTGGAATTGGGTAAGCAAAGGGGCAGAAAAGAAAGGACATGCAGATAGGATGCAATAAAGGATTAAATGTACCAAAGCTAGGGATGTGTTTTACATTCCAGAACTCAACATAATAAATAATATTTTGTGCATGTCTGACCAACTAAACGGTGTATTCCTTGAGGACTGTATCTACTTCATAACTCTGAGACCTCGCTCAGTGCCCTGCACATGGAAGGTCCTCAACAGATATTATTGATTATGGTTATAAAGATGCAGTTGCATGAGGGGGTAGAGAGAATGGGACAGAAAATAAGGTTAGGGTTATATGAAAAACGTTGGCTATTCTATAAGAATAAGAACGCCCTACCTTTTAGTTTCTCTTGAAGACAGATCTTTCATTTAAACTTGTAAAATATCAACAATAATTCAGATTCACATATTTTACCTCTCAGTATAGAACCTTATCAAAAGCCTGAAGAAACTCCCGCAGTTAGTGGTGGGAGTGAAATTGGTACAACCTCTGGGTGAGGGGGGCAATGTATCAATCAATTTTTACAAATGCAAATATGTGCAAGGTTTACAAATGCAAAATGCAAATTTGTTGTAGCACAGTTTCAATATTAAATGATTGGAAACAATCTAAATGTATATCAAGAATAAACTATTTAAATAAATTATGCTATATTCACACAATGGAATATTATGTCATTGTAAATAAAAATGACACTCTGTAACTATTAATGGATAAATATCTACAAATCATACTGTTAACTGAGAAAACAAGTAAGGACAGTGTGCTTTGAATGCTACCTTTTCTCTAAAAAAGGGGAGGGGTATAAAAATCTATATTCACATTTGCTCATACTTACATAAAAAACCTCTAGAGGGGCACCTGGGCGGCTCAATGGGTTAAAGCCTCTGCCTTCTGCTCAGGTAATGATCCCAGTGTCCTGGGATTGAGCCCCACATCGGGCTCTCTGCTCAGCAGGGAGCCTGCTTCTCTTCCTCTCTGCCTGCCTCTCTGCCTACTTGTGATCTCTGTCTGTCAAATAAATAAATAAAAATCTTTATTTAAAAAAAAAAAAAAGAATGCCCCAAAATCAAGAACAATGGTTGCCTGCAATAAGGAGTCTTCAGAATGGGAACTGGACAGGGAACAAGAACGCAAGACTCTTCACCATATGCCAAAATTTTCATATTCTTTAATTTTCCACCCATGAAAATATGTTTTTATAAGCAAATACTTCTATAGCACTTAATATCTTAGTCACTGTTAAAAAGCCATTTAAAATTAGTAACCATTTATTATTAATGTATTAACATAAATACTCAAAATTAAATTTAGAAAGTATCTCAAGAATGTCATAACTCTATTGTGGTTATACAGGAAAATATTTGTTCTTAGGAGACAAATTATTTAGAAATGGAATTATTTAAAGATGAAGTTAGTAGATCTACAACTTTATCTCATAACTTTCTTTGTAGCAAAGAAAAACATCTGTACATGGGTTTGTGAGTATGTGTGTATAGGGAGGTAGAGAAAGAGAGAGATAAAAAGATAAAGCAAATGTGCTCCCCCCTCCACCAAAAAATGATAAATCCATGCAAGGGGTAAGAGGCAGAGGGAGAAGCAGGCTTCCTGCGGGGTAAGGATCCCCTGGGACTCGATCCCAGGATGCTAGGATCATGACCTGAGCCGAAGGCAGCGGCCCAACCAACTGAGCCACCCAAATGTCCCTCATTTGTACAACTTTTTTGCAGATTTTAAATTTTCTAAGGTAAACAGAAAAGAAAAAATATCTCAGGAAAGTCCTTAAAAGTGAAATAGAACATTTTTATTTAGTTTCTATAAACTCTTTGGACTGATTTTCAAGGTCCTTAGAATATATCTCAACTCACCTCTCCAGCCTTCTTACTCTATTTGACCAAATTTTACCTTTAAATCACAACTCAAAAAATACTTTCTCAATATGGCTTTTTTGAATCTTCCAAAATAATGTGATCTCTCACCACTGTGAATATCTATAGAGCTTTTAGTTCTACTGAGATACATCATATTCTAAATTTTGTTATAATCATTGAATGTTTTGGGATGCCTAGGTGGCTCAGTTGGTTGAGTGCCTGCCTTCAGCTCGAATTATGATCCCGGGGTCCTGGGATTGAGCCCACTGAGGGCTCCTTCCTCACTGGGGAGTCTGCTTCTCCCCCCTCCCTCTGCTTGTGCTCTCTCTCATTTTCTCTCTCTCAAATAAATAAAATGGAATTTAAAAAATCATTGCATGCTTTTATTATATAAAACAAGAGATGATAATGTATATTAGATGTGTGTATTATATACTTACCTACTGTACATACTGTACTGTACATGGTCTATAACAGTAATTATTAGTTATGAGTTACTCCCTAAGAACTTAACAATTAAAAGAAAAAAGAAGTGTCTTTGATAACTTAGAGGCCAAGATAATTTATGTATAGTGGAAATGAGAGATGGGCAGTCATTGGAAGAGGAGAGACTATCAGCTCTCCCCTGCCCAAAAGGCTCCCTTTGCCTCCTTCAGATCTCAGTCCAGGATTAATCTTGAGGGAAGCCTTCTCTCAACTCCCTGCTAGATCAAAGCCCCATTATAGCATCTGGAACTATCTGCCTCCTTTACCCGACCATATGCTCCAGGACGGAAGAGATTGTTAATGTTTTTGCTCACCACTGTCACCCCAGTACCTAGCAGCATCTGGAACTTAGTAGACCCTGGTATTTTTTTTTTTTTTTAATTTGTAAAAAAAGAAAATGTGTCCCTCTGGAGAAAGAGGACACTTGAGACTTAGAAGAAAAGAGAGAGGGGCAAAATGAGCATCCAATCTACTCTCTGAGGGAGAAAGAGGCTGAGTAACTGGATTCTCTACTGACTTCTACAATCAATATATCGCATTTATACTACCTACATACACACGCATACGTACAGACACACACATATACATAATTCTACCCTTTCCTGCCAGTAATTATTACATTTTTAGAAGTGGAAAAGCCCTCTTTTTGCTCTTATTACGTTTTGTTTTCCCCAGAGTTTCTGATTTCCCTTAAACGACCTATCAGGGTGGTCTCTCCGGATTTCCCAAGATCTACGCATCTCCTCAAATTTTCTTTTAAAAAGCGGCTTTAAATTCCCCTGACAGGGACGCCTGGGTGGCTCAGTGGGTTAAAACCTCTGCCTTCCGCTCAGGTCAGATCTCAGGGTCTTGGGATCCAGCCCCACATCGGGCTCTCTGCTCCGCCGGGAGCCTGCTTTCCGCGCCCCCCCCCATCCCTGCCTCTCTGCCTACTTGTGATCTCTGTCAAATAAAGAAATAAAACCTTTAAAAAAAAAAAAATTCCCCTGACAGAAATTGTGTTTTCTTTCTCCAAAGACTTATACTTTCAAACGTGTCTATTTCCCCAAAGTAGCCGAGACATTTTGGCTTCAGCGAGTCGCCAAAGACTGGGGATTTCCACTTTCAGTCTGTATCCAAGAAGCAAAGGGGGCATAAGGGGACCTTTCAGTGATCAGCTTCCTCAGTAGGAGTTTTAGGTGAAGCAGTACTTAAGACTTTTTTTTTTTTTTTTTTTTCTTCCCTTATAGGGTTCCCAACCAGAGAGCTTCCGCAGATCCTCTGCGCTACCTCCCCGACCTTCGCGGGACCTGCAAGCCGTGGGCCCCGCCGGCAGTTTGTCCCGCGGGAAAGCGCGCGCTCCAGCCGGCGATTTTGGCGGCAGAGGTCACGTGGTCCCGCTGTGGCCAATGAGGGGCACACACGGCAGTCGCGGCGGCCGGAATCGGTCTTCCGCGCGGTCTGGGAAGCGCCTTCTAGCTGCTGGCCCCCGGCGCGCTCACGGGAGCTCTGAGGCTGGAACCCCGGAATACACTGCCCCGCGCCTCCCGTTACCCTGCGGCTGGGCGTTCCTGATGCTGTTCTGACACCTTCAGGGCCCCTTCTGTCTCCACGCCTCTAAATGCCCGAAAATAAGAGGGGACAAAGGCGCCGCCGCTTCCTGAGCCGGGAAGAGAGTGAGGGCGGTGGAGGGCTTGTGTCTGCTCCCACCTCACGCTGACGGATCCCTTGTTTTTCTAACACGCCGGTGGCCCGCTCCCCGCCCCTGACTAAAATTCCTGTCACAAATAAGATTTCGCATACAGAGTAAAATGAGAGTTCTAGGCGCGAAAACAAACGTAAATTAGATTGTTGGCTGTTACTGTATAACTCAAACGTAGGGGCTTTATTCTTCACCCTGCTTCTGCTTTTGAGGTGAAACTCTAATTTGGATTAAATTTGGCAACCGGCCACAGGGAACCTCAGAAGTTGCTGAGGAGGGCTCTGTGAGGCTCAAAGGGTATAGTTGAGTGTGGAAACACTGGGAAAATTTTATAATAAAGCAGAAGTTCCAGAATAGTGAAAACGATCGCACAACTTGATGAATATGCTAAAACCATTGGTTTTGCCCTTTAAAAGTTTGAAGTTTATGGTGTACAGATTACATCTCAATTAAAAAAAAATCTATGTTCTAGAAGATATATTCATAGGTGACAGAATCTCAGGCTTTGAGAAATCATTGTTGACACCTGCACAGATCAAAACTCAGTTATTTTAGTCAATCCAGTTATTTCTGGAAAATGTACCATATTTGATATGTGGCAAGAGGCGATCACGATGCCTGAATGTCCACTTTCTCAGTAGCATATTATTCTTTTAAAACTGGAGAATAGTCTGAGATTAGCTTTAATTATTCCTTCCAGGTGTCTAGCATATTCTTTTTTTTTTTTTTTTTTTTTTGTCTAGCATATTCTTAACCTAAAAGTCTAAAACCCATAAATTTAGCTTCTTTAATCCCAACACCCTAGTGCCCTTCAGAACATGAGACTTTAATTTTCCAACACTCAGGGACATTTAGGAATCATGCAAATTTTTGCAAAACAAAAATTCATGTTTATATTTCCTTCATGTTCTTTCCTATACTGGCAAAATCAAAGAGGAACCGACACTGAATTTTCTCTACTTAACAATGTTGACTTTGTCCGGTCAAGTTAAAGACAAATCTCTATTAGAAGGCAAATTTGATCTATTTTAGTTAATTTTGGATCATCTTAATGAGTTGTCACATCAACAATTTAGAGCTAACAGACACTAAGAGATTTATGAGGCAATGTCAGTTTTAGATTTTTACCACCTAAGAACATTGATGAATAGATTGACCACTATCTTCTTACAGTTAATGTTTAATTAATCTATTTAAGGCCCGATTTTATGTCCTCAATACCAAGAAAAACACATGCTAAGTAGAATATTTATCTTAGCTTAATGCAAATAATATCTTACCTGGGTCCCTTGACATGGCTGAAACTGTCTGGAAGCTGACAAGTCAGGTCATGTACTCCTTCTGAAAACTGTATTTCACCCACAGGGATTTGCAACAATTTGTTACTTTGGCATTCAGAAGTTCTTTAGGTTCACAAACAATGGTATCATGTTTTTTCTTCATGTTTTTTCCCTGTTGAAAAATACATCTTCAGAAAATTTCCCCCATCAGTATATATTCAGTATGTTTGATGAGTACTGGTGTTCTAACAATACAAACAGCTTTTATTCTATATATCTAAGGGTTATGGTTTTGAGTGGAAAATGGAACAGAGTAATTAAGGTCTTTTTCAACTTAAATAAACATCTTTCTATATTGTTGGTCTTTAGATCTGCAACCACTTCACATCCTCATCTCCATGGAGTTTTTCTTCATTTTTTCAATAGCCACATTCTACCAAGAGAGTAGTCTAAATAAGTATGCATAGAAGAATGCAGACAAAATAGCATAGTCAAAAGAAAATAGATTTAAAGCCTAGAGATGGGGGCGCCTGGGTGGCTCAGTGGGTTAAGCCGCTTCCTTCTGCTCAGGTCATGATCTCAGGGTCCTGGGATTGAGTCCCGAATCGGGCTCTCTGCTCAGCAGGGAGCCTGCTTCTCTCTCTCTCTCTCTCTCTCTCTCTCTCTGCCTCTCTGTCTACTTGTGATCTCTCTCGGTCAAATAAATAAATAAATAAAATCTTTAAAAAAAATAAATAAAGCCTAGAGATGGGGAGGGTTGGAGATGAAATATATTTTTGTCCTACTTCTTTGCATGTACATGATTTTGTATTCTTTCTTTCATTCCCCATGTACACATAGTCCATCTCTACACATGGTCCATAGTCCACCTCTACAAACTCTAATGAAGACTGTTCTCCCGCCCCTACACCTTTTTTCTAATACGGCAGCACCAAACCAACACACTGAAGAATTGAACTAAGACTTTCATTGTTTACTTGAATTCTCTTGACTTAAAGGTTGAGGGGTGCCTGGGTGGCTTAGTGGGTTAAGCCTCTGCTTTCAGCTCAGGTCATGACCTCAGGGTTCTGGGATTGAGCCCCACATCAGGCTCTCTGTTTATCGGGGAGCCTGCTTCCCCCCTCTCTCTGCCTGCCTACTTGTGATCTCTCTGTCAAATAAATAAATTAAAAAGAAAATCTTTAAAGGTTGGCCACAGTTTCACTTTGTAGTTTACCCTCTAAATCTAAGCAGTTTAATGGAAATGGAAGAAATAGAAGTCAGACAATAAAGAACAACTAAAGAAAGTAAAGGAGAGGACTTCGGGTGCCTTAGATCAATGCTATCCAATAAAAATATGTGAATCACATATGTAATTTTAAGGTTCCTAGCAGCTACACGAAACAAATAAAAAGAAACATGTAAAATTAACTTTAATGATATATTTACCCAAATATATTCCAAAATAAATCCAAATATTATTATTCCAATGGGTAATCAATATAAAAATTACTGAAATATCTTATATTCTTGTTAATGTACATCTTCAAAATCCAGTATGTATTTTACAATTATAATACATCTCAATTTGGACTAGCCATATTTCTGGTGCTCAATAGCTGCATGTGGCTAGTGGCTGCATTCCAACTTTAGACAAAGAAGCAAGAAGTAAAAACAAACGACTGAGAGAAAAGCAATGAGCAGTTATCCCAGCTATGCAAACCAAGAGGGGGTGGGAATCAGCAAGTAGAATTCTGACTCATTCTTTTTCAAATTTACTACATTTTCCAGAGCAGAATGCTACTTGAATATTTTGATTTTTATAATGTGGGCCAGATGAGGGAAGAGGGAGCTATGCTTTGAAGGGCTGTGGGTGCCTGGGCCTTTTTGATACCTTGGGAACTTGACGGTTTTTTTTTTAATCCCTGTGACTTCTTTATTTTATAACTGAAAGTTTCTTCTTCTTAATCCCCTTCATCTATTTTAACAGTTTGGCATTTTAACTATATGCATCAGACAACCTTCTAATCCTAATTTGATTTCTCAAGTACACTTTCCATTGGAAAAAGGACATGCTCTCCAGCTAATGCAGCACAGCCAAATTAGCCCTGAATAGAATTATTAAATTACTAAATTAGCCAAAGTTGATGGTCAAGATACAGTTACAGTATTTTTTAAGATTTTATTTAATTATTTGAGAATGATAGAGAGCATGGGGGGTTGTGCAGCAGGAGAGGAAGAAGCAGGCTCCCCAGTGAGCAGGGAGCTCAATGTGGATCTCAATCCCAGGGCCCCAGGATCACAACCTGAGCTGAAGGCAAACTGTTAACTGACTGAGCCACCCAGGCACTCCCAGAGTGAGGTTCTTATCTGAAAGAGCCAGATGATAGCCTTTCCCATCAGCCCCTTGTGAAATTGTCATTTTGTACTGTGTATTCACATGACATTGCCAGATATCTGAGAAGGAAATATCTAACCATGGTCTTTCAAAATAAACAATTAAGAATGTTGGAATTGGTTTTCCCCAAGTAGGTTTTTATTATAATTTTTCCCAAACAATTCTGCAGGATGTTAAGAGGTATTTATTGAAAAATAATCAATGCTAATTATGTTTTTCCGTCTAAAATTTATTTTTAATATATGTAAGAAAAAACACTATGCTCTTTTTTATAGTTGTTTGTATAATTAGGTAAATGCCTTTAGGAAATGGTGTGCCTACCTGAAACACCAGGAAATCCCAGGATTCATGAAAGGACAATAATGGAGATATGCACATGGAAGCAAGGCAGCTACTGAGCTGATGATGTATTTGTCTATTTAATAATCATTGGTTTACTGTCTTATTATTTCAATACATATTTATGATATTTTTCACTTAATAAATTATGTTATCTACTTTGGAGGCTGTTCTGATTCAAAGTTTAAAGTATATATGAGGGAAGTTTTATCATTTCTTGCGGCAACTAATTCATGTATGGATTTACATTCTGCTGTCTATGTGTAGTAGGCTGAATAACCATCCCCCAAAGATTTTCACATCCTAACCCCCAGAACCTGTGGGTATTTTATCTTATGTGGCAAAATGGATTTTCCTTATGTGGTTAAGTTAAAGCTGTTGAGAAATATCTAATCATCCTGTGTTATCTGTGCACAACTTAATCACGTGGGTCCTTATAAGAGGGAAGCAGAAAGGTCAGAGTCAGAGAAGGAGGTATGACAATTTCTGCCAAGAAATAAAGGCAGCCTCTGGAAGCTAAAGAAAAAAAACCTGAAAGCAAGGAAATGGATTCTCCCCTAGAGCCTCCAGAAGGAAGGCAGCCTTGCCAACCCATTTTAAACTTCAGACCTCTAGAACTACAAGCTAATAAATTTGTGTTGTTTTTGTCACTCAGTCTCTGGTAATTTATAGCAGCAGAAATAGAAAATTTATACACTATGCTGATCTGAGTGCGTATTACTATCAGTACATTATGATCTTAAAAGTGTCCATGTAAAGTAAGTTTGGAAATGGACGAGAGTCATTTGATAGTGTTTCTATAACAATAACTAGACAATCATAACTAAGATCATGAAACTTTAAATACTTATTGGTGGTATCAACTGTAAATCCAGCCTTTTTTTTTTTTTTAAGTAATCTCTACATTCAACATGGGGCTTGATGGAACTCACAACCCCAAGATCAAGAGTCACATGCTCTACAGATGGAGCCAGATTGGTGCTCCTAGCTACAAATCTTTAAAATGAGTAATATATGTTGATCAACAATGAAAAATATATATTTAGGGATGCCTGGGTGGCTCAGTCAGTTAAGCATCAGCCTTTGGCTCAGATCATGATCCCAGGGTCTTGGGATCAAGCCCGGCATCAGGCTCACTGCTGCTCATCAGGGAGCCTGCTTCTGCCTCTGCCTGCCGCTCCCCCTGCTTGTGTGCTCTCTCACTCTTTCTCTCTGGCAAATTAAAAAAAAAATCTTTAAAATATATGTATATAGCCCCTATTAAATGCTAGGCATTGCACTATACACTAGGGATATAGCAGTCAGCAAGACAGAAATGGTCCCTTCTCTGGTGGAGGTAATGGTCTAGCAAGGGAGGCAGACGTATATACTTAATTAGAATCATGATAGGTATTTGAGACTAAATTACAGTGAGTGGACCTAACCTAGTCTGGGTTAGGAATGATGTTTAAGCAGGGACCAAAAAGATGACTTGGAATTGGCCAAGATAGCTGAGATAGTCCCCATATCGCTACTCCCAAAAATAACAAGGAGGGAAAAGAAAATACAGGTTTCATCTTTATTGAACTGGTAGTCACCCCAAACCACAATGCATGAAAATGGCAAATGGATTGAGGCGGGTGAAAGACTTAGTCAGGCCTAAGTGGTTGGAGAAGGAGAAACCAAGGAGAAGCAAGGCGGGTCACCCTGAGGAGCCCTGGAAAGACTCATGAACTAGGAGTAGGTAAAGTGCAGAGAGAAGTTAGAATGGAGATGGGAGGGGTGTAATGCTGAAAAGGAGATTTGTTTGAAAATCCGTTTAATAAATGGACAGATCCCCCACATTGCCATTCCACCTGATAGAATCAGGCTACTGCTTTTACCTCCATTGGAAACAGGAAATGCCACCTTTAGAGAGAGTAACCCAAAGGAGTTATAGTTGTGGCAACACAAGGCATAGATCTGACTGAAAGAAAAGAGGAATTAAGTCTGAAACAGAAAATGAGGCACCCAGTCTTCTTCTCCAGCTCACAGAACTCTGACACCAAGTTCTGCCTCTAGCAAAGAATAAAAGAAAAAAATGAACCATGCCAGAAAAAAAGAGCCACAAATACTGACATTTGGAGGTCCCCAAAGGAAAAGCCTTTAATTAACAAGACTCAGACACAAATCAGGGCATCTGTTCAGCTTTTAGGACTTCACTCTTAAAATTTGAATGATAAAAATCACCAGATACCAGAGGGAAAACTTCAACATGAACAATTAAAAAAACCTTCAACATCCCTGGGGATAAAAATATATTATATGTTTATAAAAAAGAAAGAAAGAAA